TATCCTCAGGGCCGGCCCTGCCTCTGGCCTAGCCCTCGTTTGGAAACGATTTTCGGGCTATTTTCGGCCATCTGGCCTTCTAGACCCTTCGCTTGGAGATGGCATCAGCCTTCCCTCGGGTCCACCCTTCAGATCAAGGGAAAGATAATTAGATTTTGGGAGATTATATTCATACACCCCAAATTACTTCTCTCACACTTTTTTAATTTTTTAATATTTTTCTATCAAGTGTCAGTGGTGTGTATAAAATATTAAAAAAAATTAAAAATGTGTGAGAAGTAATTTGGGGTGTGTGAATATAATCTCTCATAGATTTTAAGGGTTGTCTTGGAAATCGGATGACACATGAAGTCAACTGCCCAAAAGAATTTGCTTGGTAGTATCTCCACATCTCAGTTGTTCATCGTATATCGTACGGCCAGTTTTCGTTAGTTACTATTTATGTTTAATTTTAAATAATAAAAGCTAAATGATTTATGACCGCATGATATACGATGAAATTAGAACCTTGCAGACAAGCAAGAAGAAATTAAGTGAGGGATTTGAATCCGTTGGATCGTAAAATGAGCAAGAAGAAATTAAAAGAGGGATTTGGATCTGTTCGATCGTAATGAGATGTTGGGTGGGCCCTTGACCAAACCATTAAATCCCATACTATAAAATGAACATGGATTCTCTCTGGATCCAATGGTCGTAATTCACCAAGTCTAATCATTCAGGTCGTTGAAATTTAATCAAACGGTTAAAGTTATTATAACTTTTAAAATGGATCTCTATTTGTAACCGTTATATCAAATTTCAACGGTCCGAATGATTGGATTTGATGGATTAGAACCATTGGATCCGGAGAGGATCCATGTCCATTTTATAGTATGGGATTTAGGGGTGGTTTGAGAGTGAGGTGCTTAAAAAAAAAGCATCCATGAAAAAAAGCTGTGAGGGTTTTAGGTGTTTGGTAAACTAAAAAAAAATGGCTTATTTTGAAAGCTGTTGTGAGAATAAACTGAAATCAAAGAAAAAAACTGAAGCTGTTATTTGCAGCTTTGGAAAACTGGCTTTTTTTCAAAGCACATGGAGCTACAGTACTATTTTAATGAAAAGACTCACTATCAGATTGCTTTTTTTTTTCAAAAGCACTTTTACAAAAAAGTTTACCAAACACTTTGCTGCTTTATTTCACAGCCGCTTATTCTCACAGCACAGCCGCTTATTCTCACAGCAGCTTTTTTTCAAAGCACAACAATACCAAACCAGCCCTTAATGGTTTGGTCAAGGGCCCACCCTGCATCTCATTACGATCGAACGGATCCAAATCCCTCTTTTAATTTATTCTTGCTCGTTTTACGATCGTACGGATTCAAATCCCTCACTTAATTTTGTTCTTGCTTGTCCGCAAGGTTCCAATCTTATAGTATGGGATTTAATGGTTTGGTCAAGGGCCCACCCTGCATCTCATTACGATCGAACGTTTTACGATCCAACGGATCCAAATCCCTCATTTTATAGTATGGGATTTAATGGTTTCGTCAAGGGCCCACAAATTCATAATACTTCCAAGAAAAAAATTGATAAGGGCAAGGGTTCACTTTTTTGAGAAGTGGTTGTGGAGAGTGGGCTTTTAAAGGTGTGGTCTACAGTCGAATTTAACCTTGGTAAAAGTTTAATCTTTTGAAATTACGTTTCCACATGTTGAGAGGGTCAGTTAATGTTTACACAAAGAGAGAAGGTTTTGTTATTTTCCAAAAAAAAAAAAAAAAAAGAGGGAGAGAAGGTTTTGTTACAAAATATCTGAAAATCAAATTTATTTGATCCATAACTTGGATCTGAAAATTGAAAACGAAAAAAAAATGTTACACATAATATCGTCGATAGGTTAACAAGATTATGTACTGTTTCCCTTATGTTTTACAATTTGCTTGTAACTAAATGCAAAGGCAAGTAGATACAACATTTTCTGTATAAATAGACTTCCACCGCTATCTTCTCGTTGCCTACGACATGTTCGACATTGAAAGTTTTGAGTAGTTTTAGTGTGTTTCTTTTTCCATGATATCTTCTCGTTGCCTACGACAAAGTCCACAAAGAATACTCATTTGGACGAATTCTATTTTTTATACTTATAATAATGTGATTGATTATACAAAAACTAGCAACTTTGTAAATATTTGTAATAATGTGATTATAAAAAATATATATAGAATTCGTAATATAGACTAAAACCTCAATACGTTACATATTGCTTAAATTTTATACCAAATATTTTAGAGCATCTTTAAAGGAAATGTCAAATTTAAAACATCAAAATGGTATTAGATGACTTATGTGGTAATTGACATTTTTTACAATTTTTTGCTCCACCCAATATGTTAAATAATAATGTCATACTGTAGTTTTTTTCATCTCTTTGTGGGGTTCAATTGATTATACAACCAATCAAATACTTGAAACACAAACATTTATTATATATTGCATCACATCTATTAAAAAATTATTAAATAAATTTGATAGCAAAAGACTTTGCGTTCAATTGCCTCAATGCCACATGGAAACTGAAGGCTCAATTGAAGAGAGTTTGCTACCAATTTTTTACTATTGTCTATGTGACAATTTTGACATCTCATTTGAAGATGCTCTTCTCTGTATTGTGGTTTCATATGCCATCCTTTAAAGTTTCATTTCAAATTTCACCATTGTTAGCAAATTTTCATCACTTTCGTCGAAAGCAACTGATGTCGATATATTCATCGATATTGTCACGAATTTACATATCGGTATTTCCACCAATATTGATATTTTAAACATTATCCCAAATTAAAGTTCTTGATTTCTAATAGTAAAGATTTATTTAAGATTTTGGCAAATGTGACCCTGTTTTTATTTATTTTTTGGAACCGAGACCTAAACATATATCATTGACTTTATTCGTTATTTATTTAATATTTTGTTAGTATTAAATCCCATGTCGAGAACTCATAAATAGATCTTGTATGTGCTTATATCGAATTGGATCACTTCTTATATATTGTAAGTCACCCAATTTGTGTGTTGTATGTATTTTATATTGTCAATTAATTTTATGGTAAAACTTAGCCTTCTTCATTAAAGTATTACCAACCTAAAAGCTAAACAACAAAATAAGTTTTACGCTTATTAATTGAATTGCCCTTTGAAACTGTCATTTAGTCTCATTTTACCCCATGAAATTGGTTTTGTTTCACTTTGACCCTTAAAACTGCTATTTTCAACTCATTTGGTCTTACTTCACCTCATTCCGTTAAAGAAACATAAATTCCAGGTATTTGGACATTTCACCTTTTATACACCTATTTACCTCCAGCTTGACCACGAAAACAATCTCAATTTCATTTTTGACAACTCTAATTCAAATACATGGGATTTGGGCAGAGTATTGTATAACTGCACATTCTTGGTGATTAAAAGAGCATTTTTTGTAGAAGTGAAATCACTCCATATAAGTTATATTGAATCTTGTCCATTTTTAAAGGAGAGAGTATTCAATACTGTATTCTTCAAGCGAAAATAATGTGAGAGAATTGAATGTTTTCTGCCATTGTATTAGTTTCAACAGAGTTTTTTTTTTTTTTTAATTTTCTATTTCATATACTCAAAATCAAAAGCTAGAATTTAGAAAGACGTGCCCAGAGCATGAACTGGTAGAGTTTAGCAACTACAATTTTTCGTTTGTTTATACAATGATATTTATACTAGAGAATGAAGGGATAAATTGGTGATGAACTACTAAGTGGTCATTCATGTATTCTTCAATCCACCGGTTTGGATAAGAAGGTAAAACCAAATGTTTGATTTTTGGGTGATTTTGGGGTTTGATTGAATTGATTTGTAAGGTTTGTTAAATTGGGATTTTACTAATTAAGATGAATGTATGCGTTTGGTGACTTTTTGTATTATTGGATTAGCATTGGATTGATTAATTGGTTACTGTGCTGATCAATTACATTCAGTTAGTTCCGTCGTTTTATGTTTGATTCTTTGGAGAGTTGATCAACGCGGAAATAGTTTTAAGAGAGTTTTAACTAAATATTTCCTGTACTGTTCATTTTTAACGAAAAAATCATAATTTTACCTTTAACTGACATTATTCATTATACCTTTAAAAATGACTTTTCGTTAAAAAAGAAGTTTTTTTGGACTTTTCGTTAGTTTTTCTTAATTTTAATCCTTTAACCGGTTGTGAGATGCATGCTGAATACCCTTAGTTATTTTATTCATTTGTGGATGTGAGTGTTTTCGTATGCTAAAGTTACCTTTTTCTGATGCAACCCTACACAACAAATCACAAACCATCCATATCTCCCAACCGAACACTCATTCTGGTCATTTCAACCGCAAAGAAACAGAATATAAGAACCGCATGGCCCGGCCTTCTCCTTTCAACTGTCAACCCAACCATACTTAGATCCTTCACCGTCGTTAACCCCTCTCTCTCTCTCTCTCTCTCTCACGCGCACACACACAGACACACAAGCTGTCACTCTCACTCACTCCAAACATGTCTTTCCACATAATAATATCTAATCAAGTTGAAATGTCAAAAACATCCCACAATCAAAGATTCTAAGCTTGCACATGATCCAATATCTATTGATAGGGTGTTGAGTTTTCTATTCATGTGTACTGGGTTTGAAACTTTCTATTTTCCTAAATTATTGTAACAGTTTCAAACTTTTCCCATCTTCTTAACAATAATAAAATTTGGAAAAAAAAACTGATTTTAGGCTTATTTTGCCTTGAATTTACTTGCATTCACTTAAAATTAACAAGTTTGATACAGAACAAAGAATTTTTTTCCCAGTTGATTTTGAAAAAACAAAAATGAAAAAGGAGGAAAGAGCTTTCCACAAAACTATCAAGAAATACGAGGACATAATAACAACATACATACTTACAAATATACATACATGGCGAAGTATATGAAAAAATATACATACATGGCGAAGTATATGAAAAACTATTTAACCTTGGTAAAAATTATTTTGGTAAATATTTTGAAATTACATTTCTGTTAGAGGATCAATGTTAATGTTTGCATCTCATGTTTAGCTCATTGAGTTTGCGAATGACATAACAGAGCATGTCAGTTGCATTTGTTGTACATGTACAAAGTCTTTTCAAGGTTGGATAGGACTTAACCATAGTTGTCACAAAGCATATGCCCATCATGCGAGAGCAAACTATCCAAAATCTGGAACAAGGATGAATGTTAATAGAATTGAGGAAAAAGTTCCACACAAAAGGCTGATTATGTTCATCAATCCATAGAGGTCTGAATTGTGGGATGCTTGCAGTATCTTGACAATGGCCGGATAATCGAATAAATTGGCAATTAACATTAAAACAACGACGTAGTCTATATCAAATAGAGATGCCTGCGAGGTTGAACATTTAACTTGTAGGAGCAATTCTACCATGGCAAGGAGAAAGAAAATGCATTTGTGGATACCAGTATCCTCCCTTGTGATGCTGGAAAGAAAATTAAATTAATAAGTGGATGAATTTCCTTAGCTAATCACCTTATAAGTACTTTATTAGTAGCAAAACCAAATAATTTGAAAGTAGAGGGAATGAATGAAAAAGAAAATGTACTAACCCAGCTGGAATTCGTGGAGAATTAGCGTCGGAACTCATAACTTCTTATGTTAATGCAAATAACGATTGTCTAATTTGAGTTCTTCAAAACTATTGGGGAGATCGAGGAAGTGTTGGAGGAAGGGGTAAGATCCACGAACTGTTGGAGGAAGTATGAAGAAAGGCCCGTCCTGGGATCACTTATATAGGAGTATCTTTGTCAGAAATGATAATATCGGCATATGTAGGTCCGTCCTCTTACTTCCCCACGTTTGACTTTAAAAATATACACAAAAGAAAAAAAGTGTTTAAATGACACGTTTCCCTCTCTAAATGTGATGTGATATTAATATATAAAAATGTTTTTAAATAGCCTATTTTTTATATTTATAACACTAATATTACATTAGTGTGAATTTATTAAATATGTAAGTCTTTGAACAAAACTAGTTTGATATGGAATTAAACACATGAATTTGAAATATTTATAGATTTTTATTTTGTCATAAAAATATTTATATTCATATTTACATTTTCAATTGCTATAAATGAATATCGCACCTCAATTTTAAGAAAATTTTATGCAACGCTATGATTTATCACACTCATAAGACAAATAACTTGGTGGTGGGGTCGTAATTCGTAAAGATGCAATGGACAATACACCCACATGACGTGGAAGATTATCTTATTCATTTTCAGTGGACCATATGTTACCGAAAAAGCATTTTAACAGGAGTCAGATGTCAGGAGAACTTCCAGGAAGGTTCCTTTTGTATATGGGAGACAGATTATCTGTCCTGTTTTGTATAGTCACGATTAAATTACGTTAATATTTTATATTATTTTTTTATAAAGATAATAAGACAATAGTAATATAAAATATTGACGTGGCTTAACCGTGATCACATAAATAGGAGGGCTCAGAAAGTGGGAGGACAGAGAATCTGCCTGCTTGTTTATGGGTTTTACCGCTAGAAGCCTGGACGATCAAATTTAAGGTCATCTCCAACCGAAGGATCCAGAGGGCTAAAATGCCGAAAATATCCAGAAAATCGTCTCCAACCGAGGGCTAGGCCAGAGGGCTGTGAAATCTAAGACGGCCCCACGGAATCGGAAAGGGCCAAAGGGCTAAAGAGCTGGCCACTTCCAGTCAGCTAGCCAACCCCGGGTTGGCCATAATTTTTTTAAATGTATTGGATTTTCTGTTGGTTATAACCGACATGAATTCTTAAGAAAAAATTCAAATGCAATGGCTAGCTGACTAGCCGTTGCATTTGATTATTATTATTTTTTTACAAAATTTTTCATATAACTTCTATTTCAAAAAATTTGTTTCATTTTATTTTAAATTCTTTTTTTATTCCTATAACTTCTATTTCACAAAATTTGTTTCATTTTATTTTAAATTCTATTTTTTTTCCTATAACTTCTATTTCACAAAATTAGTTTCGTATTTTTTTAATTCTATTTTTTTTCCTATAACTTCCTAAGCCATTATACAACATTAAATTAAATTAAGTAACATGAAACAACATTAAACAATATGAAACAACATTAAATAACATTAACCAACATAAAAATTATACAACATGAAAAAAAACATTTAACAATATGAAACTTAAACAACATTTAAGTTGTAGTTTTTAAATAATAAATTATGTTTGGTCATCGGTTAGAGACGGTTTTTTATGACATAGCTAAAACGAGCTTTTTGGCCCTTTGGCCTTCGGTTGGAGACGGAGGCAAATATGGTCCTGTACTGTTGTTTGGGCCCAAAATAATAGTTTGGGCCGAGGGTAGGATCACTCTCGGCCCGTGCGGCGAAAGGGCCATGGACCGTTCAGCTCATGGGCTTCCAAGCCTAGGTCGGTTAAAACAGAACGCAAGCCGAGTCCTAGTACAATAGGGACTCTCGACAGGGTCAGTAATCCAGAGAGCGAATCCGGCTCAGTTAAGGACTAGATACGTAGTCCTAGTGGAGATAGGATTGGTCGAGGTGATGTTGATCCAGGGAGGGAGACCTAGTCCGAATAGGATTGAAACTCGGGCTCGAGGACCAGCGCTATAAATAGGGGAAGCTGTGCATTAAGGAAGGCCCTTGCAAATCAATACAAAATTGCCCTGTGCAAATTCTCACAACTTGTGATTTTTCTTTTTCTTTTTTTCGCTGACACATCTTCCGTTGGCATCAACAGCACTGTGGAAGCAACCGGTGATATCTTAAGTCGGCATAGATAGATCTGTCACTGTAGAGTCAGTCGGTCTCGCAGTATCTTCCGTTGGCATCAACAGCACTGCGGCGAGAACGATTGATTACCTATCCAAGTCTCGGTCGAGAAGGGTTTCTGAATCCTTATTGGTCGAGGTCATCTCATCAACATTCTCGGCGAAGTGAGGTGTTACAGTTATTACATTCGGCACATTGAAAGCCGAATTTGATATTGAACTTCGTAAGAATAGTAACTTTGTCTTCAGGTTCGAGAGCCCAAGAGGCCGAGACGTGTTCCTTTCTCGGCCGCAATCGCAAGACGCAGAAGTCAGTAGCGCGACCCAACGCAACATCAACAAATTTACTCCTCGGCCGACGAGTTGGCACGCCCCGCATTCACCGAAGGACGTAGTTAGCTCATTAATTACTCGGCCTGCGCGCCACATAGGCTTTGTAGTTTTTAGGGTCAACAACTGTTCATTAAAATATTAATATCTTGGAGGATCTTGGAGGGCCAGAGGGCTAAAACGAGCCCTCTGGCCAACCATCGGTTGGAGATGGCCTAAATCCAATATCAATATAGTGAAATCATGATATTAATTAATATATCAAACTAATTTTGTTAAAATTACTCCTGTACTTATTGAATTGACAGTACACGACACGTGTCGACATCAGAAGCCAATCATAGCACGACACGTGTCGACATCAGAAGCCAATCACAACACGACAGATGTCGTGTCAATGTCACAACAAAGCTAGAAACTCTCTTCTATAAAATGAGATCATTCTCCCACAATATTTCCTAATATCATTTGTACTAAATCATTCATTAGTACTCACAAAATGAGAGCTTGAACCTATGTACTTGTGTAAACCCTTCACAATTAATAAGAACTCCTATACTCCGTGGACGTAGCCAATCTGGGTGAACCACATACGTCTTGTATTTTCTTCCCTGTCTCTATTCATTTACATACTTATCCACAAAAATGACCGGAGCAATCTAGCGAAGGTCACAAACTTAACACTTTATGTGGTACCAAAGTCCTCACTGATTTTGTACATCAACATATAATAAGCTTTATTTTGTTTTATTTTATTTTCTTGTTCAATAAGCATTCCTCTTTTCTACTCATATCCACACCACCATTTACCCTCATCTTTCTACATGCTATTGACGGTTGGCTCCTCAGGCCGATCTTAAAGCCGTAGCAAAACTTAACAGCTATATATCTCGTAAGTCGAAGAGAATTTGGAATTGCGTCATCGTTTTTATTCATTGGTTCAACAAATGTGTACATGGCTAGTCAGTAAGCACATATGAAAAATTCACATATCATGCAATTGATGAATAAAAACTGCAACAATTTTCCATGATTTGTAATATTTCTATAGCGGTGTCTTCTGCTGTGGAACTCAATACACGTGGCCGCCTTAGGTGCTGATGGTGATCAGCCTATGGAAAATAGAGATTTGGATTGTGGCGTGTGTGTGTGTGTGTGTTTATATATATATATATATATATATATATATATATATATATATATATATATATATATATATATATTAAATCGTGTCCGTTTATCATACATCGTGCGGTCAGTTTTTGTCAAGTACTGTTTGTGTTCAATTTTAAATAAAAATAATAATATGATTTTTGACCGCATGATGCACGATTTATAAATTTTCGAGATCCTCACAAAGAGGATCCAGATATTCGCATTCATACAATTGATTCGTGGCATATATATATTGGAATAAGTCAATATTCAGGAGAAAATGAATGTAAATATTATGTAATTATTAGAGTCTTGTTTAGGACGGACAATATGTCCTTTATTTGTTTCCTTTTACAACAAGGATTGTATGTACCTATTTACTCATAATTATGAAATATACGAGAATAAGCCGTAAAATTCAATTTGGCATCAGAGCCAAGATGTAACCCTAATCCCACTGTGATGTCATGCTGCATATGTCGTGAAGGAAGAGAGGAAGACAAAAACTGGTTTTTTCACTGGATACCTGCAGCAAGAACAGTTTGTCGTGCAGTGTGCGTGTTTGCTGTGCAGTGTGCTTGTGTGTGCCGTGACCTATGGCGAGTGACAAAGGAGACTTGGGGCTGAAGTTGGAGGGTGGATCACAGGGTTCTACTCACAGTTCAGTCGTAAACCTAGTTGTTATTCAGAGTGCTGCTTTGGCGGTACCTAGTACTGTAAAACTTAATGGATCAAATTATCCTATTTGGTCCAATGTGTTGGAGATGCATATCGCTAGGCGTGGTAAGAAAGGGTTTGTGATAGGAAGCATCAAAGAACCCAAGGAAGACAGTGCCGAGTATGAAGCTTGGGAGACGGGGAATGCTATTATGAAAGGGTGGTTGATTAATTCCATGGATCCTACCATCATGGGTTTTTTCATCCATCTTTGTACTGCTGGAGAAGTTTGGGAAGAAGTTGCTCGAACGTATTATGATGGGTTTGATATTTCTCAGATTTATGAGTTGAAAGTGAAGTCATTCAGATTTCGACAAGAATGGAGGCCTATCGGTGTATACTATGCCGATCTCAAAACTTTTTGGCAAGAATTGGATCAGAGAAGACCAATCAAGATGGAATGTGCTGGTGACTTAAAGACACTTTGAGAGGAAATCCAACTAGATCGTGTGTATGCCTTCTTAGCAGGGCTTGATGATATATTTGATAAGGTGCGTAGTGATATCTTGAGATCACAACCTTTACCATATGTGGAGGAAGTGTTCTCTATTGTGAGGCGGGAAGCGCAACGCCATGCAACAATGATGGGTAGTCATGGCATTGGGAATCAGGAGGAAATCTCTCCCATGGCTATGGTGTCTCGGCCACCTTCGGGTACCCAAACCTTTAATCTTTCATCATCAACAACTATCTCTCCCGTGGCTATGGTGTCCCGGCCACCTTCGAGTAGCTGAACCTTTAATCCTTCATCATCAACAACTTCTCGGCCTGTCACTCGGGAAAATAAGGATGACTTGAAATGTACCTTTTGTGGGAAAATCCGCCATACAGAATATACATGTTTTCAATAACATGGAGTACCAGAATGGTTTCCGGAATTGAAAAAAAAGTTGCGTGCAAAGGAACGAGGTGCTGGTGGAGCAGGTGGCGATCGTGCATCCATGACCAGTGCTCCTAAGGATGCCGCCCCCCACAGGTGATCCAAGTCAAAGTTTGCTGACTATGACCACTCCTAGTGAAACCCCGGCCATTCCATGTAGTATAAGGCATGTGTTTTTAGCCTCTGATACGGAACATCGTACATGTTGGATTCTAGACTCGGGTGCAACCGATCATATGACTTTTGATAAGAATTTATTTACTAGTATGACAACGAGTTCACGGAAATGTATTGCAACTGCCAATGGACAAACAACACCGGTTTTTGGGGCAGACATTGTGCATCTCATGCCGACCCTTCCTCTTCATCATTACCTTTTTGTTCTCTCGTTGTCTCATAATTTGTTGTATATTCCTCAAGTTACTGAGCAATTAGATTGTGTTGTACTTATGTATCCATTGTTTTGTTTACTTCAGGATATTCAGACCAGAGGAGATACATTGGGTGGCACTATTAAAGTCGAGAGATAGGGGGTTGCAGATTTGGTAAGTAGTGGAGTGACTGGGTCGACAGCTTCATGCCGACTTTCTTCACCACCCACGGCAAGCTGTTGCCGAGAGGGCTTATGTGGTTGAATAACACTTCAGTGCTCAGCATGCTCATGTGGAGAGCCTTCACGGCACCTTTCTGCAGTATGCCGAGAGCTTTCACAGCTCCCTTCTTTAGTATACTCTGTCCATGAGCTACATATTTCCAACCACCCAAGATCACCGATAATATTCTCCCCCTGGTGATCAGAAGGTGATGGACTCGAACCATAGAAATACTCAGACTCCAAAAAAGTAACATCCATGGTCACATACATATGGCCAGTAACATCCATGGTCACGTACATTGGGTATTATCAGAGTCACTCGGATCATACGTTATTTGTGAAACGGAGAAGTGGAAAAGTGACGACCTTAATTATCTATGTGGATGATATTATAATAACGAGTGATGATACAAAAGAGATGATGAGGCTGGAACGAAACCTGGCTGCCAAATTCGAGATGAAGAATTTGGGAGATTTGAAATATTTTCTTGGTGTGGAGGTCGCTCGGTCATCTAGAGGTATTTTCTTGTCTCAACGCAAATATGTTCTGGATTTATTAAAGGAAACAGGAATGCTGGGATGTAAACCGGTGGACACTCCCATCGTGGAAAAACATTATTTAGGGATTTATCCAGATCAAGAACCAGTTGACAAGGGTAGGTATCAAAGGCTGGTGGGGAGAATGATTTATTTGTCTCACACTCGTCTGGATATTGCCTATGCTGTAAGTGTAATGAGTCAATTCATGCACTCACCAAGTGTGGATTATATGGCGGCAATAATGAGGATCTTGGCTTATTTGAAGTTTGCACTTGGTAAAGGGATCTTGTATGCGTGTCATGGACATATGAGAATTGAAGGTTTTACCGATGCTGATTGGGCAGGTGACGTGACTAATAGAAGATCGACATCTGGGTATTTTACATTTGTTGAAGGTAATTTGGTCACTTGGCGAAGCAAGAAACAGAATGTAGTATCACGATGCTCTGCTGAAGCCGAGTATATGGGAATGGCATAGGGTGTGTGTGAGATTCTTTGGTTACAGAAGTTACTTTGGAGTCTCGGTTTTAAACAGACATAAGCAATGGAGTTGTATTGTGATAATAAGTCCACCAGAGAAATAGCTAAGAATGCGGTACAGCATGATATGACTAAACATGTGGAGGTTGACAGGCATTTTATCAAAGAAAAGCTGGAGAAGAAGATTGTGTCAATACCGTTTGTGAACTTAGAAGAACAACTTGCAGACATTCTTACCCATGCCGTGTGTCGTAGGTGTTTTGATGATTCACTAGTCAAGTTGGGCATGAGTAATATCTATGCTCCAACTTGATAGGGAGTATTGGAATAAGTCAATATTTAGGAGAAAATGAATGTAAATATTCTATAATTATTAGTCTTGTTTGGGAAGGACAATATGTCCTTTATTTGTTTCCTTTTACAATAAGGATTGTATGTACCTATTTACTCAGAATTATGAAATATACGAGATTAAGCCGTAAAATTCAATTATATATTCACATATATATGTATATATATATATATATATATATATATATGAAGCCTTTAAGGGAAGGAATCCCTATTTTTTTTAATAAAAATGGGAATTAGTTGGGGGTCCACACTACATAGAACTTTAACGATCTAAATCGTCTATTGATAAGTTTTTTTTCTGTTTTTTTGTTTTTTAGATATATATATACACACACACCATAAATCTAGCAATTTGCTCCTGCGCATTTGATAAGTTTTTTGTTTGTTTTGTTTATTCTCTTTATCTTGTACATGTCATTATATAAAATTATTAGATAGTTTTTTTTGTTAAAATTCAAAATTTTGAAGTTCTTTTTATTAGTTTTCTTTATTTTATTTGAGGAAGACGATTCCAACTTACTAATCATTTTAGAAAAATTATACTACTTCTAGTTTTGTTCCAGGTTCTAAGCTTTGCCGTTTGGTACTTTTTCATCAGATTTCAACCTACATATGTAGTTTACATCCTAAACTTGTTTTTCACATAGCGCACTGCGCACGAGTTGATTGTATGTTCTTTTAATTGAAGTCACATACATAACAGGTAATTACATGTGAACAATTATATAAAAGAATGCATAAAAAGCCTATGATTGCTTAACAAATAATTCTTAAATTGTAATTATTATTTTATATTTTCATTTTGTGTTTTGTTTTTTGCTCAAATGTGGTTACAATTGTGTCATCTGCAGTTTAAAAAAAAATGACAAAATCAAGTGCGATAAGATATACCAAAGCAATATAGAAGGAGATCCCAAATTAATTCCACATGTTACAATTATTTTATATTGTACATTACTCAATTTCACTGTTCTAAAAATCCCCGCCTAGACCACCTAGGCACCCGCCTAGCCCGCCTAGGCACCTGCCTACGTTGCAACTCACTTAGACCGAAAATACGTAACTTTCAATTTGCATTTTGTTTTTTTCCAATAAATTATAAGATACTTGTTGCATACTTGAATGAACAAACATTATATCCTTATTTCACGTGTTTTCATTAAGTTCCAATACTTCATGATATATATGCATTCTATTTTGTAGTTTATGATGAAATTATATATATTTCAAGTAGAAGCAGACACTTATTTACATGAAATATGATAGATTTACTTAAATCCGCCTAGTCCGTCTAGGCCCCGCCTAGCCGCTAGGCCCCAGCCCGCTGCCCGACTAGCGCCTAGCAACTTTTAGAACCTTACTCAATTTATGTATTGTTCGTAATTTATATTGTTAATTAATTTTATGTTAAACTGATTTCTTCATAAAAATTATTACCAACCTAATAGTTAAACAGCAAAATGAGTTATAAAGTTTGAACTCTTCCTATTCCATTATCCCCTCTCTTTCACGGCTATCTTGTCGTTGCCTAAAACAAAGTCAACAAACAACTACCCATTTGGGCAATTTTATTTTTGGATATCTCTGTGTAATTTTCCAACAAATTAAGTGATGTCTCGGATGAATGACAATCGATTATATTTAGTGAGAAAGGTAGTTAATGTTTGTATTAATGTAGTTATAAAAAAAATATATATTCAAAACTATGAGAACTCATTGAGGACAATTCTATATGTATTGAAATGCTTTATGGATCATATCCTATGTATTTTGTGTATCTTTAAATTATGCTCCAAAATAAGACATAGAAATTGATGAGATGTAGTCCTGCTGGTACATGCATCTGCGTTATACTTTACATTGTATTTAACTAAAAAAAATTCAAAGTTGTTGTAAAATCGATGGTGGGTGCAGTGGAATAAATAAACAAGACACAAAATTTATCAAGGTTTCTTTACAGTCAGTGTGACTGAAGTACGTCCTCGGGGCAGCAGTAGTGATTTCATTATAATTTAGAATAATAAGAGTACAGAAATAACTTTCTCTATTATCTCATCTTCCTCTCTTTTCTTTCTTCCTCTTCCGTGAGTCTCACTCCCTTCTTCCTCTTCCGCGAGTCTCACTCCCTTCTTCCTCTCTTCTGCACAAACTTTTGGAAAAAGTTACTGTATCAATCCTATTCATTTTACAAAATTTCCACAAATGAATAGTGAAAATACTGTGTATAAATAGTAACAAACTATTCATGTGGGCCATCCACATATTATTCACAACAAAAGCAATATGTAATGATACTCTGTTTCTTTCCATGTCAAACTGATCGCTGTGTGTTTGATAGAAAAGGTCGTATAAGCTGACCAAGCAATACAAAGCCGTTGTACAATTCCCTGGAGTGGGGAGTCCACGCGAGTGATCTTGTTCCGCCACTTAAACCGTCCGTCACGTTTGAATTCACACTGCCCCTGCGTCTTGAGCTTCCAAAGTGAAAGCCGACGGAAAAGTGCCTTCACTCCACATCTTACACATACAGGTACTTTCAGAGAACTAATTTATGTTGGTATATGCTTCGTTGTTGTACATTGTCCTCAACAGTTTCATATGATATTACCCTCCGTGTTGTTGCAATTGCCTACTTATCCCACTGCAATGTTCCCCGCAGATATAATTGTAACCAAATTAGAGCAAAAAAATGACACAAAATGGAAACATAAAATAATAATCACAATTCAAGAATTATTAATCAAGCAACTACAGGCCTTTTATGCATTATTTTATATAATTGTTCGCGATAAACACAAGAAATCAACCCCAATGATATTACTGATATCTTAAATATTTGAGTGGGCTATTCCAATACGGTTATCCACGTGCAAGTGAAAAGTGTAGAACACTAAAAAAATTTCTTCTTCAATTTAATTGAAAGGTTCAAAACAAATAAAAAGAACCCACGTCAAAAGTAGTTGATGAGTTGATGCGGCGAGAAATTTTTCATTGTAACGGGAATACAAGTAGTATACTATGTATTTTAATAGAAGTGATGGAAATTTTTATTTTTAAAATTATTAACTTTTTAGCACATCTATCCCACTATTTACATAATGATACGTTGTATATCACCTTATGTACCAATCATACTAAAAAACCCCAATGATATTACTGATACTTCAAAGGGTAAACTGTCATTTTCCCCTTAAACTATCACCCTATTGTCAATGCCCCCTAAATTATTTTTTCAGCCAATTTACCCCCTGAACTATAAAAATTGGCCAATGTACTCTTTACTATTAAATTTGTTAAATTCCATCGATTGAGATGTTAAAAATAAGGGTGATTTTGTCATTTCCAACGCAAAATAGTGATTAATAAAAAATAATAAAGAAATTAATAACAAACCATAAAAAAAAAACCCTTGCAAATAGCAAACGGAGGATTGGTTCACAGAGAGAGAGAGAGAGAGAGAGAGAGAGAGAACAGCCTCCCAGACTCCTAGTGATTGGAGTGGAATCAGTGATGTGGATTCTAAGGTGCAAAGGATCAGCAATGGTGGCATGGCAGAATTGGAACCGGCTCGGTGGAGTTAAATCGGAACCGGCGCGGTGGCGGTGGAGTTGAATCGTTAGCCGCCCCTCCACCTTGGGCTGCTTGAATATGGACTTCAAATCTACCGCTAACCCCACAATTTTTTTAGAGAGGGAGATAAAGAGAGAGAGAATCGTGAAGAAGGTGGCGGGTTGGGTGGGGGTGGAGTTCGGACAGGGAAGGATATGGAATTTCTGGGTTAAAGGAATGTAGGCTGGAGAATAGGGTCTCCTTTTATTTTCTTTTCAAGTTTTAGTATTTTTTTTACTTTAATAGTTAAAAGTGATCTTCTTTTTTAAATTAAAGAATTGATTTTTTTTTAACAGAATTTGGAATGAAGTTTAAAAATTTGACGGTAAGGTGTAAATTGACACATTATATATAGTTCAGGGGGTTAATTGGCTGAAAAAATAGTTTAGGGCGTAAATTGATAATAGAGTGATAGTTTAAGGAGGAAAATGACAATTTATCCTATTTTCAAATAATATCTACAAAATCTACTACCTTGAACGCGTATTGACTCTTTGATGGGGTGATGGGGTGACATTTCATGTAAATATTTGAAAGGAAAGTAATTCCAAAGCGTGTGGCCACAAAATCCCGTGTTAACAAACGATGTGCATAACATTCTCATTATCTTTTTGACCTTATGATTTATTTATTTCAGGTTTTGAACTTTTCGGCTGACATACGATGATAAGTTTTATAGAATATTATCTATTTTCCGACATGAAAGTATTGTTTTCAGGATAAATAATATGAGAGAATTTGAAGGTTTCTGCTGTCATGTTATTTTCAACAAACTTCTCTTTAAATTTTTTTATTTCACAAATTCAAAAACAATGAATATGAATTCATATAGACGTGCTCTAAGCCTGAATTAGTAAAGTTTTTTTTTTTTGGTAAAAGGAATTAGTAAAGTTTAGCCACTACAATTTTTGTTTGTTTGTTAATACAATGATAGAGGAATAAATTAGTTACGAGCTATTGGCATTCATGTATTGTTCAACTGTGATATAACTTATAAGTAAAGATAGCCCTTGCAATATGAGCCCCTTCAATTTTTCACAGGCATAAAAAGGTGTTGCAACAGCACCTGCACAAAAGCCTTTCGATATGGACTGGACAAACATTTTGAGACCTCTGACCCACAGAAATGCAACATGACAAGGAGCTTACCTCACGCGTCGGAGATCGACCCGTAGGGTCCATTTGAAATGATATGTACTTCTACTCGTAGGTGTTTTTACTTGAAGTAGTTTTTTAGGACAAATTTTTTATAAAATAAAATCCAAGTGTTTTATAAGAAACACTACAAAGTTACTTTTCCAGAAAATGTTTATATTACTTATGATTGATACAATTTAACAAAACAAGAGAAACATTGTAGGAAACTAACTTTTCTAAGTAGAGAACCACCCCGGTTGATTCAGTGGTCGTACCCAGTGCACAAGGCTCCCGCTTTACACAGGGTCTGGGAGAGGTGAATGTCGGCTAGCCTTACCCCCATTTATGGAGAGGCTGCTCCCAAGTCTTGAACCCGAGACCTACCGGTTGATTCAGTGGTAAATGGATAAATTTCAGGTTCGTTTTCTACACAGTATGTCATAAGTTCGATTCTTGACACTAATGAATCAAATAATAAGTTTTAGGGATAGAAAGAGGCTGAAATGATGCACTACATCATCAACTAGTCCTTTTTTTTTAAGTAACTTTTCTAAGCACCAGAGGGTTAACCGAAATGTTTGTATACATATATATGCTGATTTTGTTCGAAGTTTGGGGAACTCTCTCTCTATTGCGGTTATGTATGACTGTTGGGGGAAGGCATGAGAAAGGAAAGAGAAAGAGTCACGTGATATTATTTATTTATTTTTTTAATTTTAAACAAACAATATTTTCTATATTAAGGGAGTTGGAGGGTAGCTAGCAATAATATGATTCAAATATGTTTTTGGCAATGATCGAACTTTAAGATTTTTTTACTTACAAGTGAAGAAGAATATCACTAGACCGTAATATTAATTAATAATAGTCACGCAATTTCTATCCATCATTAGATATGACTAATGCTAATGATTAAATTATTAGTTTACTTATTATTACTCTTTTAATAGACTTTGTTCATATATTATGGTCTCATGAATGCCGTGAGAAGCAATATCTTTTTTATCTAACAAATTACGATTAGAACTGCACTGATTATTCTCTAAATAATTATTTGGACTATATTATAGACGTAGCCATAGTGATAACCAGTGGACGCCGTAGATTCCTTTTGAATTGTCTTATTTTTGACGTCGTGGCCTTTTTTAATTTTCTTTCTGCAATCTCCACCTGCACTGCCCTCATCGCAATCTCCACCTTCATCACTCTCCGTCGAGCCTCCGACGCCTCCCGATCCCTGGAACCCCATCTGATACACCCGTATGCCTTCTTCATCTACACCCCATCTCAAATCCCTCCTTCCTCTTCCCGATTTCCACTCCGCCAATGCTGGGACTCCGGTTGCTCTGCACAGGGACCACACAGACATAACTCTCTCTTATTTGAGGAATAAGAAGAAAGACATGCTGGTCTTCCGATCTACATGAAATCAGGTGCATAATTAGCTTCCTCATTTGAAGAATAAAACCTGGAGAAAAAGGGAAAAAAAGAGAGAGGAGATAGACGGTTGGTCGGAGAAATAAGGGGAGAAAGGACCGGAGAGGGAATGGCAGCAGTGGGAAGGAAACAAAAATGCTAGACCTTTCGAGAGAAAGGAATAAAAAAGAAAAAAATAAATTAAAGTATAAAATATTAATTGATATGAATAAATTAATATAATATTAGATAAGTTGGGTGTCAGTTTATTTTTAAGGATGAAAATGCATTTAGCCTATTATTATTCACTAAATGAATAAATGCGCTGATACTAGACAAAACCTTTAGGGATGGAGTTGCTTGCAGATGTTGGGCCCACCCCTTGTGGGTTTTCAGGGAATTTCATTGCAAAAGGCCCCACCCCTTTGTATGCATTTGCAGAAAAAGACCTGACAGACACTTTCCCAAAGTGGGTTTTCAGGGAAAGAACTAAAAAGGATGGAGACAACTGAATTCACTGAAGCAACGAACAACCTACCAGACACTTTCCCAAAGTGGCTGACTCCACTTACAATCATTCGATCTTCCTCGGAGTGTGGATTCCACGCGAGTGACCTTGTTCCGCCACGTAACCCGACCGTGACGTTTGGTGTCTGAGGTGGTCGTGGGTCTTTTCCACGTGCTTTGAAAGGAGCGTGGTTTACGTTATCTTTTGTTTAAGACTTAACGAATATGAGAGAGAAAATCGAAAAGTACAGCCAGTTTGTATTAAATTTTTATTTGCAATTTTGCAAACAAATTAGAAATTTGATTGCTTTTTTGGATTTTGCTTTTGTTTCTTTTGCTCAAATCTGATTGGTCAACCCAAAGACTCAAGACTCCAGTCTCAAATCTTTTTTGGGAAAATTAATTTTATAATTCTTAATATTCAAATATATTTTTATTTTGCCACTTAGTATTAGTAATGCACCAAAAGAAAAAAAAGTATTAATAATGCAATCTACTGATATTCCTTCTTATTTGTATGTGAGATGTGTTATAAGTTTGATTCTCGCTAAAGGCGAATTTGAATGATATGATTGTTAACTCATTGTCAAGCTAATCACATCTTATCCCTTTAGTGTAGACAATATCATTTGTTAAATAAATAAATAAAAGAAAGAGTTTGAATTACTATTTTAATTTAAATTAGGAAGAATGAAAGAGTTTAAATGCAGGACACATTAGGTTGACAAAAAAAGAATTAAGAAATCAAAAAACAAAAACTAAATTGAAGCCGCACAATTAAAACGAAAAAAATATATATATACTACAAGTATAAACATTTTTCAAGCAATATTTATCAAAATGAAATAATAGTACTTATTTTTTGCAAATTTTTTTGGTGGTTTATGTGGTTATAACTTATACCACACTTTCAGTGTGACTCTAGTGATGGGCCTTGTAAGCAATTAAGGTCCAAACTTAAGTTTCCGTTAGTCTTTTGTTAAATAAACACATGTGAGGTGTGATTTTTTTTTTGTCGCAAGAGAAGAAGCAAGCCTATACCATGGAACTTATCTCACCTAGAAAAAATGACAAGCAACACGAAAACCCCATAAACAGTGACCAAAAGCAAGGGATGCAAATTGTTGCCGCATGATCCATGTAAGGTGGAGGAAAGAAGAAAAAGGTACTTCGTATTTCCGCACAATCATTGCAAATCAAACGACGGATGCCTTAGGTTTCTTAATTTGGTTTGATTGGACAACTCTAACCTCTCAACGTGAGACTCATATATGCTTATTTAATGGAAACTAATAGACATTTATGTTTAGATACTAATTGATAACAGAGCTCACCACAAAAGTTTAGTTAACAATTCACATTGAAAGTGTGCCATTCAAATAGTTTAGCCATTATTTTTAGATGTCAATAAAGATTTGATTATATAGGACATTGGCATGACAATTTACATTTTTCAATATATAATTAGTGTGAGATTTATAATAAGATTCACACTTCCATAAGCCCAAGGACCTTCTCCCAAAGCCCAACACTCCCCGCACTCCTAAGATCAATCACACTTGGGCTACAAGCTTGCCACAGTCCAATAACCAACTTTAATTTCATTCTTTAATTGCCCTTGCTCCCACCCACAATATCCATAAAAAAACCGAAACTCACCAAGCCCAACCGTATCCCTTTTCACTATTTCAGCAGCACACCCCACACGTTCCTTTGTCCCATAATACCAGAGATTTTTCAATGTGATTGTACACGAGTGGTATACCACGTGTTATTATACAAATAGTGGAGCATGTGTGTTAAAAAAGTTAATAGCTTAAATATTAAAAATTTTCACCACTTATATAAAATCATGCGATCTACCACTCGTGTTTCGATTATAATAAAAAATTTCTCTCATAATACAACCCCCTCACGTCATCAAAAACTCCACCCTCCCAACCGCATGATCACCCCCTTTGGGCCTCACCAAGAACAACCCCTCCTCCAACGGCGCGCCGAAGAACAACGGCCGGTCCGAGAACGTGCCCGCCACGTCTCGAGCGGTCCATCGAGTTTCCTTGTTCGACATGAGGGAAGGCCGGTTGAGAATGATGCCGGATGGGCCCAAAGGTCCAGTGGACAACACCCAAATGATCGTCCGCTCGAAAATGTGGACCCCGCCGTGGTTTTTGGTTGCAAGGAGTAGGCAGCCCTTTTCGGACTTGTGGATTGTGTGAGCACATTTGTCACCAACAGTGATGGGATTAGGTTGGTCCACCAGAGTGTGAAGATCAACAAGTGAGGAAGCTGAAGTGGGCTCTTTAGGCCTTGATTTCTCTGCAGCTACCAGTTTTGCTCTGAATGATCGCCAATCGGCACCAATGGAAGGTTTGCGATCATCGTTGGACGGCATAGATGACTCCCCACGGCTACTTATCATTCGACAGAAGAAGAGAAAGGAATATTTCCCTGTTTGAAACAGAAAAGCAAAAGAACAACTTACGTGTTATTGAAGATGGAATGCCATCTCTTTTGGATTGAAATTGAGTGTAATTTCTGTTGGGAGAAGTAACAGTTTTGGTGAAGAGCAAAAACAAGCTTCCATTGATGAACTTTTGATGGCAGATCGAGAGCTTCAAAGCTGATAAGAAATAAAGAGCAGATCATTCACTGATATATAAGCTTAATAATATATGCCTCTATGGAGAGGACTTGATTCAAATGTAGTAGTCCCGTGTCAAATGCTTTGCTTGATATGTATGCCAAGTGTGATGTGTTGGATGAAGCATCTAGAGTCTTTCATGGGATAGCGAAAGAAAATTCGGTGTCTTGGAATGCCACGCTTCAAGGGTTAGCCATGCACAGGCATGGTGAAAAGGCGCTTGAGCTATTCTCTCAAATGGTAAAAGCCGGGGTTTTGCCTGATAAATTGACCTTCATTGGGGTCTTATGTGCTTGTGCACATGTTGCCAATGCGAGGCTCCAAATGAGGAGCACGGGTGTCCAGAAGCCCCCAGGGGCTAGTTCCATCGAGGTGGACGACAAGGTTCGTGAGTTTACAGTTTTTGATAAATTACACCCTAAATCCGACTAAAGTATATTGGTTGATTGACAGACTTCGTCTGGACTTAAACCAATTGAATGTGTCGCCGGGAAGTATTAGCAATGGGATAGGTGGATGAACTGTGAAAGACAATATTTACTTGGTGAGCATCAGCTGACTCAAACTTGGCCAGAAACACTTGTGCAAACCCCGTAATCGGAAAAAGTCCAAGGAGAAACTTTTCACCAATGTTGCTAGAATATAAACTTGCATATTTTATATTTTATCAATGCCATTCATATTTTATATATGAGATGATAAGTTTGTTACTGCCCGTGTCGCACTAGTACAATGCTTCCAAAGAGCTGGAGAAGTATCTATGGGTATAGCAGACTCCAACTACAAAGTTACAGGTCGGTCCTGTGGTTGTGGATGCTTTATCGATCAGTTTGACAGGATTAGCAATGATAAATAACGATTTTTAAGAACAATTAAGTGGCATAATCATGGCAAATACTGAAATATAAGCCAGAAGCAAAAACATAATCAGAATCATCAATCTGAATCAGACCAGAAAATACACCTATAAGTTGGATTACAATGTTAGCATGCCCTTGACTGCCCCGTCGTTCCATTCGGTGGGAAAAGATCGCAAGACAAGCGCGACAGTTGGACACTAGCCACTGCAAACAACCTAGGATTATACCTAAAATAACCAAACAGCTTCAGCCACAGCCTCCCCGACCCATAACAACTTGAGGAGGAGGGGGAGATCATTAGTTAGTTGGCCACGTCGGTTCCGACGTACGACCTCGCCATTACCACTGAGAAATCAAGAGTGGTCTGGTTCATCTTACTTACATAGATGGGAGGCAACGACTCCGTTCCCTGCTTGAGATTGCTGTCGCTTTCCTTGTCGTCGCCGTAGAAGATATCGGCCCGAAGGTTCTCGTAGCACAAGTCCAGCTTCCGGTTGCGGTTTATAGCGACCACGTCAAGTCCCACGTGGCGGTTACGTACTCGCTGCTGGAGGCGGCGATGAGAAACCCAACATCAGCCGTTTGGGAGCTAGGATAAGAGACCTGACAGCATTAATAAACGGATTCGGTTGTGTAAATAAGCCACTGGATTAAATAATCTAGCCATACCAATTTTAATACGCTTTATACCCGTTTATTTATTCTTTCTAAAACGTTAATATAATTAGTCAGGTTGCTCTCTCTGTCATTCTCTTGCGAATCTAGCTAGGTATTTTCGTTGATATCGCACCATCGTCTCAACATGTGTATTTATCGAATGTAGCCAAATGTTAACCTTTAATTTTAAAAATATCAATTTTTATAAAAAGTTTCAAATATATTCAAAATCTCATTGAAATAGACTCAAATACCTAAAACTTTAAAACCGAATAAACTAAAAAAATCAGAACCCTATTAAATGAAGGCAAGGAGAGAAATAGGAGAGAAATATTTTTTTTTTTAGTACATCGATATTTTTACACTAAGGGAATGTGGAGTTCGGCTAAGCCGCACAATGGGCAACCTAATTTGATATCAAATTTGCCATCCACTAGATTCGAACATAAGACCTTTCACTTCTAAGTAAAAAGGAATATCACCAGACCCTAATACTAAGTGGCAGGAGAGAAGAGAAATAGCTATTAAAAAGTCCATTAGGTTAATTAGATAAAATTAGAAAAAAAGAAAAAAAAACTAAAAAAGGAAGTGTAAAAAAAGAAAACAAAAAAAAAAAAGACAGAAAAAGAAACACGTGAAAATCAATCCTAGTAGAAGTAGGACTTGACTCACATTGTACAGTAGTTGTCGATAAATGGGATTCCTTCTCTCTCCTCGTCTGATATGAAGTCAAAACCTAAAAGACAAGCATCAAATTTCTTGTATAAAAAGCTCCAAGTGCAGCAATCAAATCATCACATCAGAATCAGATGGGAGAAAAACCTGAGAATCCCTCCTCCGACCATTGGTACCATTGGCCTGCAGTAATTAAGCCCCTCTGTTTAATCCTCTTCGTAGGCTGCATGAGCATAATCTTTTACTTCCAGGTGGCGCACGAAAACTGGCTCAACCCCTTGGCCCCCGAGTTCCGCATCTACTCCGCCGCCGTGTCCCCGTGCCCACTCGCCCCGACCCCTCCTTCCGCCGCCAACCGCTACCATTCCTTAACCGCCACGTGGAACTTTAATCTGGTCTTCGCAAACCCCAACACCAAACTCGACTTGTACTACGAGAGCCTCCAGGCGGATCTCTTCTACGGGGACGAGAAGACGAAGGACAAACTGATGCTCGCGACGACGCCGTTGCCTCTTTTGGCTTTAACCACGATGACCCAGACCACTTTCAATGTCACCTTCGCGACGGCGAGGGCCTACGTCAGCGATGAAGCCGCCAAGGAATTAATAATCTCCTCCAACTCCTCGTCAGCAGGTGATGGTTGTTATGGGTCGGCCAAATTGGGGGTGAAGCTGACCGGATTTTTCAGAATTGATAAAAGTCTCTGGTTTTCTAGTTACTTCTGCGACCTTTCTCCCCCGAATTACAACGTCACCGATCAGTCAAGCGAATGTGAAATTTATAATCCTGCTGAACGGTGTGTATGCTGACAACTTGAGATTGTTCGTGTGTATGCTGACAACTTGAGATTGATTGATCGATTTGTTGATCTTCATCCTAGTTATTATTTATTTAACTTTTTAGTTGCAGTTTCAGTTAAATTGAATGTTGTAATTTTGTGATGATGGTTAGGATAATGTTGTGGCTAGTTGTATTTGTTTGTTTTGTTTGTTTTTAACCTTTCGCATACTATCGCTATCGATAATCATAATGGAAAGGAGTCTTTGCGTGTTATTTTGTTAATCTTGTTATAAACGAAACAAAAATTCGTGGTCATTGTTAGGCTGGCTGTTGTAGTTTGGGGGTAGGTAGGAAAATATATATATGGTTAGCATCACAGTTTACCAACCTCCTCAAAAAACCATCCAGCTTACATTAGTCGAATGCAACATGATCCACCAACAATGTCGACTATACATGTCGGAAACTATTTGGCTTGATCACGGGTGAGAAGAGAATTTTGTTTTTGCACTTTTGCTTTGAACACTTCTGTTTTTGGAGTTGCCCTAGACTGCTCACGAGCAACCGTGGTACAACTGAACTGATGATGACCGTGACTATTGGGATTTACTCTTGGAGATTACATGGTTAGAACTTAGAAGAGGTTCTAAAGCTGTCAAACACCGCATTGATCTTGAGATCTATTAGCGTATTAATATCAAGTTCTCATCATAGTCTGTGTGCATTCATCAGTAAGAATGAATTGGTATAATGTAACAAAATCAAATTGAGTATGAAGTTAGTCTCTATGGGCACGAACAACAAATAAATACCATCTTTAGCAGTTTATCCACTTATCCCACTGCTAACACTATGTTGTTTATCCACCTATCCCATTGCTAACACTATGTTTGGATGAGAAAAATAAAGTTGGAATTTTGATAAAAGTCATAATTTATGAAAATGAATTTTCTAGATCCTAATTTACGCAATTTACTCAATTTATCCACCACATTTGATGTCGCTCCCCTCTATTTTCTAGATCCTAATCTGCAATTTACGCAAGAACAAAAAATGAATTTTCCGTTTCAACAACCAAATAGCAAAAGAAAACCGAAAAATCAACAGAAAACATATAAAAAGGGAAGAAGGGGGTTTTGATTTTTATTATACCTTGACGAGATTGACATCCTCATGGCGTTGGCGAGACTCTCCATTACTTTGCTTCTTCTTCTTCTTCCTTTGATTCTTCTTAATTAGACTTAGTTCATATTAGAATTATTCTGTAGAACTTGTAAGTTTTGTGACTGAATATGAGTTTTTCATGTGGAATTCATAATTCATGTACTTTCAATGCAAATCATGTTGGTCGATGTATGATGTAGGATGTGTGATAATGAGATTGCACCATGTAGCAGTGTTGTACGTGGAATGGATGATCCTACTTGGTTAATCTGCATTGGGGGACCATACACATTCTAGGGGTGACTATGCTTCGTTAATTTGCATTGGGTGGTCACTACTTACTTGGATACATTGTTCTCAGAGGTGGTCTTGCTTAGTTAATATGCATTGGGAACCACACTATGATATGCTTCAATGCCTATGGTCCTGCTTGGCTAATCCACATTAAGAGACCATACGCATTCTAAGGGTGACTCTGATTGGTTAATTCACATTGGGGGTCACTACTTACTTGGTTATATTGTTCTAGTTAAAAACATGCAACAATTCATAACAATGAATTTACAAGCGTGAAAATGTGAAAAAAAAATTGCCGACGGTCGTCATGGATGCCTTTACGCTTTGAATGATGGTTACATCGTCTTTTGAATGTTTAAAACCATATAAACTCTTGTGAATTATATTTTTAAAAGAGTTGAAAATTATTAATATTCATAATAAATACTATACAAATGTGAAAAATATTTTTGTCGATTGATATATGACCGGGAACATGATATCTTCTATGCGGGATGTTTGATATACCAAACCGGCGTCATGAACATTGTATTTGGCCAAGGAGGTGCATTTAAGCAACAAATCATGGAACTTGTAGAACTATATCATGTAAGAAGACAAACACCAAGTAACCAACGTAACATTCGTAAACTCCTCCTAATTGATATCAACTCACAATCAAGGTTTTATGCTCATTTCTCGTCGAGCATGGTTCAAGGAATTCGTGACAACTTTAGGGATATTTTTTTTCTATGATTTTATACAAACTTTGGACCTTATATATTATTTTATTTAATATGTGCCACATGGCACCTTGTGAGTCATTTAATACAACTTTTCTCAAGTTTTTTACCATCAAAACGATGAGCACCCCGCAAAGGGTCTACAACAACTTCAGGAATATTTATTCAATTTTTTTTTCTATTTTATTTGAATTTTCTCAAATTATATATATTTTTAGGGATGTGCTATCTATACACCCCATTTTACTTCTCACACACGTCTTAATAATTTATATCCGTTGATCTTCTTCAACTCATCTGATCCGACGGTCGAAAATTAAAAATGTGTGTGAGAAGTAAAATGGGATATGGATATCACACCCTTATTTTTATTCTTCACTGCCACGTGATATATATATATATATATATTAATTAAACCAAAATCCAGCCTCCACATACTCGATACAAAAAGGCCAGAAGCTCCTTCTGGCATTGGCCATTGGAAGCAGCGGCCATTAGCAGGCCACCGCCGCCAGCCAAGCGCTGTCACCCCCCACACGCGAAGACGTATCTGATGAATCAATTCCCAGGTTTTTAATAAACTTCCTCCATCTCTCGTACTGCTTTTTTCTAGTCTTTATACACACACCATATGTTTGATTAAATGTCTTAAAGAAGTATCTGACGAATCAATCATCGGGGCAGTGTGAACTATGTTGCTGTTGATATTGAGGTAACAAACGAGGAAGGTGAGGGTAATAGACATGAAGGAAAGAGATTACTATTGGAGGATAAGTGACGGGGCAAGCCATTAGTTTTTGACTTGGTTATTAGTGGAGCCTTTTGTTGTTGGGACATGTACAAATTTGTTTGTGTTTTGATAGTCCATTAGTTTTTTGGTAACAAAGATTATACTTAAGAGGAAGCTGATGTCCATGGCTAATTATAGTTGCTAATGAATTCTGTATCAAATGGGTTTCCAAATTATAAGTTTATCAATTATATCTATTGGTTTGTAATTGTGGATCAGAGTATATGAAAAGGATTTGATTGTTTAAACCTGTAAATTTATAGGTGAGGGAGCTATGCATCGCCAAAATCGAGCCATTGGAGGTGCTGGAGTAGGGATAGGGGAGAGAGAGGGAAGTGCAGGTGGAAAGAGTTGGGCTTGGAAGATGTTTAGTTGGTTAGTCTTATCTATCTTCGTTTATATATTTTTTTTGTTGTTGAGTGGCGACTTTGCTGATCATAGCAAATTCCATACTAGAAAGTCTGTTAGGGCACTATACCTAATGTCTCAAACAATGACCGGTGTGGGGTACGGTGACATCGTCCCCAAAACTGAGCGGTCAAAGGTGTTAGTATCCTTTCTGATTTTCTTCGTCCGTTGGATTTGGTGCTACTCAGGAGGTGTTTTTTTTGCTTTTATCGGTGAGGGTTTCCTCAGACGATATAGGAAGGTAGTAAACTTTTTTAGTGTGAGTGAGGACCGTTTTAGGGTAGTGATGGCAGTAGCGGCACCTGCTCTGTGTGTGGGAGTAGGCTGTATTGGGTTTCACTTCTTGGGGAAGAAGAGCTGGGAGAATGCTATGTATTTGTCGGTTGTTTCTGTAACCACTGTAGGCTATGGTGAAGTTACGGTGGAGACGGCAGGCGCTAGGGTTTTTGCAAGCATTTGGATGTGCCTTTCCACAGTTATTTTTCTTAAATGTCAGACGTACCTAGTTGTTAGAATTATGAGCGGGTTTAGAAGAAATTGAGTAGTGATTTGTTAGGGAAGCATGGGGTGTCATGTTATATCGAGTCTTTCTTATGTACAGAAAATTCGAAACGCATTCAGTTTTCATTATTGATCACAATTTTAGTATTGTTTACTTCTTTAAGAACAACTTGCTTTCATTACGAAATGTTGGAACTTGGAACCAAATTTGCTAAAATCAAAAGGGAAATGTAATTTTCAATTCGATCTTTTATATTTTCTTTTTAAAATACTTTAAAATCAAATATTAATTGAATAACGGGGTCATAGGAAAACTTAAAAATCTTGAATTAATACATTTGGATTTTTAGATCATCTCCTTTGGAGATGTTAAATTGTAAAAGGAATGTCTTGCAATTAATTTTGAAGGTAGGAAAAAACTTCAACTAATATATCAATCCTGCGTGAATTGACATATGAACATTTTATTGTCAAATTTAACATATGAAAAAAGGTGTTGTCAATTAGTTTTCTAATTATTGTATTGTTTGGGTCTCATTAATACACCAATTATAAATTTTGAAATTTATTTTAATCAATTTTTTTTAAAGTGAATCTTACAATATCATTTATAAAAAAAAATGGAGAAAGAGAAATGCACAGCCTAATAGAGTCATAGACCACTTACTTTTCATGTTTTTAGAAATTGGTATGAATATTCATACAAATTTCCATCTAAATCCTATTCGAACACTGAAAAGTATTTTTAGTCCTCTACTTTACCAAAACAACTATCTAAACCTTTTCAAAAATATTATAAATAGAAGGAAATGAGATCATAAAGATACGCGGATGACTTGACTATAGTATAGGCCGGTCAAACAAAAACAACGTGCAATGAGCTCTCTGCTCCCATATATTTTAATTCAAGTGAAAGAGGAAGACAAAAAGTCATATTGTCCTAAAAAAATACGATTGATTACTCAGATTGGTTTTTGCGCCCCTTTATTATAATTAAACTTAGTATTTCATAAATGTTTTTTTTATTATTTGAATGATATTTTAGAAGAAAAATTCAAGCTGAAGCACAAAAAATCGCGCATATTACTCCAATCAATCGACCTAACTCATGTGAGCTAAAAACCAATTTATGTGGATTGAAAGCAAATTTGAGTGGGTCTAGAGATTGGGCTGCAAAGCCCACCCTTCTTTAGCTCTTACAAATTGGGTCAGTCCACTCAGCAACCCTTCTCTCTCTCTCTCCCTCCCCCCCCCCCTCTCAGATGAAAATTCAAATTCTAGCCTCTGCCTTCTCCACACCGAAGTCCAAAACCCAAAACCTAAAACCCTGAAGCTCTCCGACCATGCAAATGTGCGTTCCAGTTCGAGCCCCGTCATGGGTTTCCCGGGACGGCTCTTAGACCAGAAGCTCTCGGACCTCCATAGGTGCACAAACCTCACCCACATCAGCAAGTCCACGTCCAAATCCTCAAAACCAACCTTCACCAGGACATCCACGCGGCGCCCAAGCTCGTCGCCGCTTTCTCCCTCTGCCGTCAAATGACGGTGGTGGTAAACGTTTTCAATCAGATTGATTAGCCAAATGCCCATTTGTACAACACTCTCATCAGAGCTCGCAGACTTCGCAGGCCTTCGCGGCTTTCTTCGATATGCAGATTAATGGGGTTTATCCTGATAATTTTACGTACCCATTTCTTCTGAAAGCTTGTTTTCGCCTGCCATGGCTGCCGGTGGTTCAAATGATTCATGCCCACATTGAGAAATCTGGATTTTAGTTGGATATCTTCCTGCCCAATTCGCTCATTGATACTTATTCCAAGAGTGGATTGATTGGCGTTAGTGAGGCGAAGAATCTGTTTGTGGTGATGGAAGAGAGAGACACTGTGTCTTGGAATTCAATGCTTGGTGGGTGGTGGGTTGGCAAAAGCTGGGGAGCTAAGTGATGCACGCCGCTTGTGTAGAGTCTGGTTTGATTGGATTGGGTATGAAAGTTCACGCCTCTATAGAGAGGACTCGATTCAAGTGTAGTACTCCCGTGTCAAATGCTTTGCTTGATTGTATGCCAAGTTTTGTGTGTTGGATGAAGCATCTAGAGTCTTTCATGTGATAGCGAAAAAGGATTTGGTGTCTTGGAATGCCATGCTCCTAGGGTTAGCCATGAACAGGCATGGTGAGAAGGCGCTTGAGCTATTCTCTCGAATTGTAAAAGCCGGGGGGTTTTTTTTTTTTTTCCGGATAAATTGACCTTCGTTGGGGTCTTATGTGCTGTACACATGCAGTATTTGTGGAGGAATGTCTTCAAGCCTTCAACACTATGGAGTGGGAGTACGGGATTGTACCGGGAGTTGAGCATTACGGTTGCATGATTGACCTTTTGGGTCTTGGTGGGCGTCTTAGGGAGGCTTTTAGGCTTGTGCATAGCATGCCAATGGAACCAAATGCTGCTGTATGGCGTACACTTTTGGGGGCTTGTCGGATGCATAATGATCTGGAACTAGCAGAGGAGGGTGCTTAATCACCTAGGTAAGTTAGACCCGTCTGATTCAGGAAAATTTTTCATGTTGTCAAATATTTATTCTGCAGCTGGTGATTGGGTCAATTTTGCCAGTATGAGGCTGCAAATGAGGAGCACCGGAGTCCAGAAATTTCCCAGGGCTAGTTCTGTTGAGGTGGACGACGAGGTCCATGAATTTACAGTTTTTGATAAATTACATCCTAAATCCGACAAAGTATATGGGATGATTGACAGACTTCATCAAGACTTCAAGCAATTGAATGTGTCGTCGCGGAGTATTAGCAATGGGATAGGTGGATAAACTGCGACAGAAAGTATTTATTTGGTGAGCATCAGCTGACTCAAACTTGTCCAGAAACACTTCAGCGAGCATTGGAAAATATTCAAGGAGAAACTTCTGACCAATGTCCCTAGGACTTAGATTATAAACTTGTATACATGTTGATAAATAGAAGGGGATCAATCATGTTCCAGTAGATTGGAATTAACAGTTACCAATGATTCATCTTTTATCTGTGAGATGATGTGTCACACTAGTACAATTCTTGCAAAGAGCTGGAGAAGTGTCTGCGGGTATAGCACCGTATCCATATCACTGCTTGCCATCTATGCTCTGCCATCAATTCCAAGTTTAGGAACCCAAAAAATGAGATGAGGAAGGATAGCTCTTGCTGATATGCTGTAAGTTGAAACTCAACCTTAAATTTCTTAATGAAATTATGTTTTCTTATAAACAATTGCACATCAAACTACTGTCTTGTAAGCTATATCGTTTAGCGAAGAAAAACTTACATGCAACGGGAATGATGCAACTGTGGTAATATTTCAAGTCAATCACACATTGTCATGCATTTTATCTTTCTAACATAATAATGTGTGGTTGACTCAGAATACTGTCACAATGACATCCGTGAAATAACTCCCCCAATATTCACAGCTGACAAGTTAATGTACTTCAAAGTTTGGCGAGCAAGTGCTCAACAAACAACCGACACGTGACTCAAATTGGTTTGATTGATGAGAAAAACCCCTTACCCACAAAGAAGGAGGAGTTCCGGTCCTTTGGTGCCATGCATAAAGTCATATCCACTGGCCTTCCCGATGTGTTGTCCCAAATAAACCTTTCTTTTGCTTTGTTGTGTTAATTGGTCATGTATTGTTATGCAACTCTTTGTGAAGCAAATAGAACTCATATAATCCTTTTTGGATTCTTTTTGTAAGGATTCTAGGGATCCTCACTTCTTATCCGGTCATCTTACTTCATACATTTGGTGTTGTTTGTGTTTAATTTTAAATAATAAAAAAATTCAAAATGATTTATAACTGCACAATATACGATGATGATAGGATATGAGGATCCTAGGTTCTCACAACGAGAATCCGGATGGGATCCAAATCCATAATATAAAGCTCTAAATTTGATTTTCTATCCAGTAATATAACTGTTTTTCTTTCTTTCAATCTGGTAGCTTCATACCACAATTTGGTGAAGTGGGTAGTTCCTGTTCCCCTTAAATTTACTCAAAGGATTAAAAGTTTTAGTTGATATCAAGGGTAGTTTAAATAGCGTTTAGTAGATATCGCCCGTGCTTGGTTTTGAATTTTTACAAGATGACTTGTCGTGTTGCTATTTTTGAGATAATATTTTGTGATAAAATTTGTAAATTTTAGCCAATAGAAAAGAATGCTGTTATTGCTTTTTTTATTTATTTTTTTAATTTTTTAAGATGAGACCTTAGGTGCTGACCTTAGTTTCGGATTATTTTAAGCCGTTGAATTTTTATCTAAACGGCTCACAATAAAAGAGTTCAAACATGCTTCTCTCTATGGGATTTGGATCCCATATGGATCCAAATTGTGAGGATCTTAGGGATCCCCACATCTTAACCATTCATTGTGTATCGTACGATAAGAAATTATTTGATTTTTTTATTTAAAATTTAACACAAATAGTAGATGATGAAAATTGACTGCACAATATATGATGAACGGTTAGGATGTGGAGATCCCTACGATCCCCACAAAGTTAATCTGGAGAGGATCCTTTTCCCTCTCTAGGTTCACCCATCCACTTTTCTCTCTCTCTCTTCATCTTCAACCTCACCCCATCCTCGGTTTCAAAATCCTCCCCAATATCCAAAATTAATTAAAACACTAGCACCTCCTGAATTTCATGATGATGCCAAATTCCGACGTTCTACTGGCCTTCAATCACCACCTAATTAAGTTCGATGATGAAGTGATGAAAACTCGTGTGATTTAGAATACGTAGGATCTAGGATGGTTGTAGAACGTAGAAAAAAAACACCTTGAAAATAAATTGAATTGGCAAAAGCTCCTAACTTAATGCGTCTCTCCAAATTGATCCCCTTCCTAATGGCTAAATAGCCTTATTTATAAAGGAAAACTAATGAAAAGTGTTTGAAAACTTTGAGTTTTAATGATAAGGACAAAATAAAGGGTAAAATGAATAGTACCAGGATTGACTTTTTAGTGTAAAAATGTGGTTTTTCGTTAAAGTGAACAGTACCAGGTGTTTTTCGTTAAAGTTCCCTATTTATAATATTACAAAATAAAATCCTACTTAGGAAAGGTCTTCTAAAAACTAGGAAACATAATAGAATAAAATAACTAGGAAACATAATAGAATAAAATAACTAGGAA